AATAAACCAAAAACGACATATATTTTGAGATTGGGAGAATATTATCTTAATAATTTGAGAGTAATTTACCTTTTTATAATTTTTTTGGAAGTGCAATTCAAAAAAAATACTTCTCCAAAAACAAATTCTTTTGAACCAAACACGACCTTAGTTGTTCTCAAGATACATTCGTCTTGCAGAAGTCAGCCGTGGGAACCAATCATAAGTCCAAGTTGAAAAAAAAAAGGGTTAAAAAACGTATAAATAAATAATCTGGCACAGATCCCAAGACAGGGTCACGTGATAGCCGTGAGCATCTACAGTCACATGGTAGTTAAAAAGAACAAAAAAAGAAAAGAAATATATATATATATACAAGAAAAAGGAAAAAAAAAAAAAAAACCTAACCCAGCTGGAGTTGAGCAGGTAATGATTCGGTGTGTGGGGTCCACGGTAAACACGGTGGAAATAGAATATCAAAGGTGGACTTTTGTGCTGTGTAGTTTAACTCTTTTGAACGTGCAAGCAAAATAGGGTCCCACATGAACATGGGTTTGGGCTGGTTTGGTTCTATCTTCTCTTGTATTCTATTCTATTCTATCATTCACTTGCATGCACGCACGTTGCATGTGCTATGCCACCATTCCTTCCTCTTCCCCTCCGCTTATCTCGCCGGGTACACCCACGTCACCTTCTAGTCCTGCTACCTTCTCCTTTTACCATAATACCCCTGAATTTGACAAAGCGTTAATGGCCCCAACAGCAAGGGTAATTTTGTCATAGTCAAGGAAGGTAGCACTGTCCTTTCCTACATCAAACGTGACAACCAACTAATGGACACAGAGAGGCAAAACAAGGAAGAAATAGAGTGACCAACTAAGAGATACATAATTATAATAACATAATATCATAAAAAAAAAAAAAAATTAAACAAAGTAATGACAGCAACATCAAGTGACCAAAGAACCTTTGATATTTAATTTTTTATACATATATGGACCTAATATCTGCTTAATAGTCAAAATGTTAAGTCCTTGTCAAAAGGGATTTGCCCTTAATCAAGCCTACACAATTAAATTTTCAATTTTATTATATCTAGTTCACTAAAAAACAATTAATTCATAAATTAATTATCATTTTCCTTTTTAGCATTAGGAAGTAGACATGGGATTCAGAAGCAGAAATTTAACAATAATGAGATTTCAAACATGCCCTTCATTTCTAAGTAATCATCTCATCATGCCACTACACTAAAACACCAGTTAATAATTAATTATAATACATAGATTAGTTTCAATTTTTGCTTATTTTCAATCAATGCATGTTTGCCCCATGAGGGCACAAGCCCATGTGCCCCATCTCCATAAGGCTGTATGTACATGGCTACAAATTTTTAAAAATTATTGGAAAAAAGAAATTTCATCTTACCGACACATGGATGATTGTTTGTGGGAAATTTTTGTATTATTTGCATTAATTAATGAATATGTAAATATATTATATTGAGACATAAATATAATTGAACAGATTTTTGACAGGGACAATACTGATAGTGCAATATTTTGAGGCAATGCTGATTCAAAGATGTTCCTACTGTGAGGAAGAATGTACAATTTTTGGTGAGGAGTACAAGTTGTAAAGCTCTTATGGGTTGCAAAAAGTAGATAATTTTTTTTTTAATTGAAAAAAAATGACTACTACCCCGTCAGTTTGGACCACAGGTCAGGTATTGACGTTCTGATTTAAGACGCACCCATAGGGGACCCGACTCCCCGAGCACTTGTGGGAGATGTTGCTTCTTTCCTATATTTTTATCTTTCTATTTACATGTATAATATTTAATTAATGTGGATTTTTATTTTTCTTCTGTTAAAAGTAGTTTCAAAGTTGCTTAAGGAATTAATTTTGGTATATATTAAAACTTAAATAGTGACAACTTAACATATTTTTGTGAGTCTTCCTAACATTTTCCAATGTTTACAAAGGGTTTGATGGAACACCTTTTTGCCCACTTCTCTTCGAAGGGAAGAAATAAATTGCCAATCATTTTTTTATATATATAAATATGTAAAAATAATCACCTTAATTAGCATTAATGTGTGTTTATTTAATAAATAAAAAAGAATTAATAACTTAACTTGTTACCCATTGATAGTATTTTTCAGGTGGTACTAGTAGTGCATTAGAGCCTAATTAAATACTCATTCACTATCTTCAAATATAATTGGATTTTACCAAATTTTTTTATTTTTATTTTTCAAAAACAGAGAAGTCTTTTAGAAGGAAGTGATTCAAAGGGTGCAATCCAAGTTAGTTACGAAAAGAAAAGTGAACGAAGCACCTATTTCCTTTCCATTTTCAATGCTTTTTCAAAGAGTGAGTATTTTGGAAGGGATTGATGAAGAGTAAACCTTAAGTTAGTTAATATAAGTGTTTTGGCTACTTAACTAAATTGATTAAATTGAAACTAATCTGGTTGGTATTTTAATTTATCTTTTATTTTTTGAATTTTTAATGATTTTTAAATTCTTATTTGTTCATAATTAAATCAAATTGTTTCAATTCGATGAGTAAAATTAAAAGTCGGTTGAATAATTTATAAAAAAAAAACTAAACAAAAGATTGAAAAGAAATTGAGCATTACTATTTAAGTGTTTTGTTCATTTACTATTGAATTATTATTTAATTCTTCGCTTAGAATGTGCCGTTTTGAATGTCGTTTAATAAAATTAAATCTCGAGTACTACTAAATGTATTTTATCAAATAAAAATGATGAAATTGTAATTATAAATAAATTCCAAAATTACAAGGGTAGAAAGAAAGGAGTATAAAGTTTTTGGTTGTTCTTCCAAATTCCACTATAGGAACCTCTATCAAGTGCATGACTGGCGGCTTAATGCAACTGCCCCTAATAAAATCCATAGTATTAATATAAAAAAAAACAAATATTCTTTCAATGTTTCTGACTAAAATTCTAGCTTGCCTAATTTTGTCACTCTTTGAAATTATTGTTCTTACATGAAAAATGTTCTTAAAAATTTGAATTTCTAATCCTTTTTATTCAACGATCGGTTCATTAAATGCTGCTTATTTCAACATTTAAAATAATAAGAAATAAGCTTGTTTGTTAAAGCTAAATCAATGACTTATTTATCTGAAATTGAAATTAAAATTTAACTGCACGAAAAAGTTTTTTCTGAAAGCTGATTCAATAAATTATACAATGATTAAAAGATAAAATTGCACTTATAATTATAAAATATAAAATAATACTCTATCACTTTTTAATCATTCGGCATAATAAGACAAGATATTCAATCTAAATAAACGAGCTCTATTGATATCCTCTTCTAAATTTATCTTATAATATATTTATATTACGATGTCTGTTAATGAATTATCAAATTTATTTAAGAAGAAAAAAGATTATTATGGAAAATGAGTTGTGTTTTGATATTTAAAACGCGTTATTAACATTGTCATCTTTAATTCAAAATATATTAATTACATACGATTTACTTTTCAAATTATTTTTAGTAAGGTAATTATCCCTGTGGTGTACACGTACAACTACAGCTTAGATCTAATTTGCTAACGCGTTAAATGTTTAATTAAAAGTAAAAACGAAAAAAAAAGTCAAAGTAGAAAGTGATTTCACGCTCTGTGAAGGGAGAGTGAGAACAGCATTTCTAAAATCTGACTTGTGGAATTTATTCAAGGTAAAAAGAAGAAACTTAATTAAATAAATAAAAAAACAACCGGCGGTTAAAAGCTGACAAAATGCAGAGTCTCCGTTTTTTTTTTTTTTCTGTGTGCATTTATACACGAACATAGGTCAGTGCTTCTTTACTGTGTCCATACAGAGTCGGTTCTTCAATAACGAAACCCAAGAACTAAACTCATCATTAGAAATTCCAATGAATATAAAACAATACCCCTTTAATTTTTTATTAATTACTACATTAAATTACTTTCTCCCTTCATTTTTTTAAGTTTTTATGAAAATTAATAATTTAAGTTACTTTTTTTTATAAATTATGATTCTTTCATCTAATTACTTTAATTTTTTTAATTCTTTCTCCATTAATATGATAAGATGCATTGTAAAAATTATAAATAATAGTATTGCGTTTAATAACGATAAAAATAAAATTAAAAAATTAATTAATAATCCTTAATCTTCTTCACATACTGAATTACTTATCTTTTAGGATTTTTTATTTATTATTTATCAGTGTTCGAGAGGTGAGGTTATATTCCCTCTTCGATTCTTTTTTATATTGTTCTTTATGTTATTCATTAATGAAATTATTCTTAGTTCTTTTTTACATAAAATAAAAATAAATAAATAATAAAAATGTAATTTACTTCTTTATGTTGCAATTGGTAGAAAAAGTCTTAAAAATATTTATTTTATATTTCATTAATATCCTTGTGAATTAGAAATGTAAGTAATTTCCTCTCAAAAAAAAAAAAGAAATGTAATTAATTAAGTATTTAGTAAAATTATGTAAAATTTATTTGAAAGGAAAATAGTTTTTGACTAGTTAATAAATATTTATAGTAACTTGATTTATCATAGTTACCAAAGATAATGCATTAATTAAATAGAAAATCTAAGAATTTATTCAAATGAGGATAGTGATTATATTTTAAAAAAATAATTTTTACTTATAATTTTTATTTACTTTAAATATTGTTAACTAGTATTTTTTTAATATTATCGTATTGTATATTTCTTATTCAACTAATAAAAAATAATTGTTTAATTTATAAAAACTGAACCAAATGCTATTTTTAGAAGTTTCTTACCACGAGATTGTCAGTGAATTGTAATTTTCCTCATGAATTAATGTTCAAAATAAATAAATATAGTAAAAGTTAAAACCCGTGAAAAAAAAAAAAGGAATAATAGAGCGGTGGGAAAATTGGAGAAAAAAGTGGGACCCGTGTGGGTAATGAGACGAGAGAGAAAACTTCAACATCAAGACAGTGAGTGTGGGAAGAGAGAGAAAAGACAGCTAGCAATGAAGGAGGAGCCTTACCTACCATAATTCCCAATATCACTACTACTTCTACTTCTCCTCTCTTTGCCTTTTCTTTTTAGACTACTCTGTTTCTCTCTTTTCTCTTCTCCCTCTAACAGATTTTCACAGACAAAACAAAGGTACTCAACTCAACAATTTCTTATTACTATTATCAATGGCTACTCTTCAGTTCTACTGCACTCCATATGGATTATACACTTCTTTTGTTTGTTCAATCTCATTATATGGACCAAAAATAGCTTTTCAGCTTGGGTTTTTTCCTCTGCATTTCTGGGTTTTGGACCTTCAATTTAATAATACTGGCATGCATTCACTTTTGCTACTTCAAACAAGGTTCATAGCTATTTTTCTTTTCCGTTTGTTTCGTGAGAAAGTGAAGGAAAGGGAAAAAAAAAAAAATTGACCCCTATTTTCGTCCCCTTCTCAAAAGCAGAGTATGAAATTTTAATTTTCCGGGGGTAATTTGTTTTTCAAGGAGGTTTACACTGCATTGCATATGAAAATTTAGCAATTTTAAATAATTTTATTAACGACAATTACTGATAATTGCATTTGTTTTGTGCTTAATTTGCAGGAATTTGAAGTAAATATTTATGTTTTAAATTCTACAGAAGTGAATTGTTTTAAATTCTTGGGAATTTAGCCAAACTAAACTAAGGTATGCATCAAAATTCCCTTCATCTACTCCATTTTCTTTCTAATTCTCACTTAGCTCCACAATTTCACCTGAAAATCAATTTCCATGTTCAATTGCTTCAATTTTCTGTTTCCTTGAGCAAAAAAAAGGAAAAAGAAAAAGGAAAAAATATCTTTAATTTCATCTTTAGCATATATAAAAGGTAAAGTAGATAAGAAACAATCAATCGTTTATTCCCCTTTTTGACCTTTTTTAGCATGTAAAAGCATTAGGCAATTAAAAGACTAATTAAGAATTTTGGACTCTAATTCAAAATTCTGATTCCAACCCATTTTTTGAATTCTCACGTATTCTTAATATAATTTAAAATTTTTGTATCTTTGCCACACGTCTGGCGCGCTGCCTTGACACATTTTCCCAGTAGCCAAGCAAAATTTTACAAACACCAATGGCCCACACCCACAGACTTTTGTGTACCACTTTTATGATTGCACTCATTGAGTCGCAGTTTTGCTTTCTTTCGCTCACATTTTCCTTTTCTCTCTCAAAATTTTCCAGGAGAATTGAAATTCAAAAAGAAAATCAACATTAACCATTAAACATGATTGGACCAGCAAATTTCATGGACGAGATAGACTGCGGTAGCTTCTTTGACCACATCGATGACCTCCTCGACTTCCCCACCGACGATATCGACGATTGTCTCCCTGGTTCCGACTGCGCCACCATCAACAACAATGGAATTGCGGGTAACTCGTTTCCGAGTATTTGGTCGACTCAGTCTGACTCGCTGCCGGGTTCTGACTCGGTTTTCTCTAATAATAGCGCTTCTGATCTTTCCGCTGAGTTATCTGTTCCGGTGAGTTTTTAATTTTAATTGTTTATTTTTCAGCCGTTGGATATCTAGATGATGACGTCATTTGATGTGCACTGTCACTTATTGATTGCCAGACTTGCAAGGCCGCGTTATTGAGTTTCAAAATTTGAACCACGATTAGGGTATTTTAGTCAATATGTGGGGTCTTTTGGGGAAGTTTTAGTAAATTTATAAGTTTTGTCGGCGATGAGGTGGATTGACATATCTTAAAATAATTGCTTCGGTTATGGAAGTCACGTGACTTGTCATGTGATCGCTTGAAAGTGACTTATTCTCATGTGCAAGTTGTTTCTCTCAAAAAATAAAAATAAAAATAAAAATAATATAATAAATAAAATAAAATAAATAACTCATGGTTAATTAAGGATTGTGAACTAATTGTTAAACTTACTTACTAGTCATTGAATTTTAATTAATTTATTAATTAGGTACCAAAGTTATTAAAATTTTGAATTAGTGCACCCAAAAATTTGGTGGCTCTAGACTACTAGCAATTATAGAAGCTTAAAAATTTAATTTTAAGCTTGAAATTTTAGTTATCTAATTAAATTTATTTTCTGTTGTTACAGTATGAAGATATTGTTCAGCTAGAATGGTTATCAAATTTTGTTGAGGATTCCTTCTCTGGAGGAAGCCTTACAATCAATAATAGTAGTAAAAATAAAGAAGGGTCAACTTCCATCAACAAGGATTCATCTCGTCAATTCCAGACCTCCAGCCCAGTTTCTGTACTTGAAAGCAGCAGTTCCTGCTCTGGAGAGAAAACTGCGCCACGCAGCCCGGAAATCATTGCCTCGGGCAGGCGTGGACGTGCTCGTAGCAAACGTCCTCGCCCCGCCTCTTTCACTCCCCGACCGGCTATGCAACTTATCTCACCGAGCTCTTCTGTCAGTGAGACTCACCATCCTTTTGCTGTCCCTAAAGTCTCTTCGGATTCTGAAAACTATGCTGAGTCGCGACTTTTAATCAAATTACCGAAGCAAGTTGCCCCTGAACAGAAGAAGAAGAAGAAAATCAAGTTTACTGTTCCAATAGTTCCTTCAGAGACAAGCCAAAATTCACCACCACAGCAACAACAAGCAGTAAGGAAATGTATGCATTGTGAGATAACAAAGACACCACAATGGAGAGCTGGGCCAATGGGGCCAAAAACCCTGTGTAATGCTTGTGGTGTTCGCTACAAGTCCGGCCGGCTTTTCCCTGAATACCGACCGGCTGCAAGTCCAACCTTCGTTCCATCCTTGCATTCCAATTCCCACAAGAAAGTTTTGGAGATGAGAACCAAGACTACCACCAAAACTAATGTCCCCGGAAATGCTACAATGATGACCAACTCGCCAGAGTTAATTCCAAATGATAACAACCTTGCAATGGATTATATGTGAATGGAGGATATGGAGAATAGTTTTCCGATCGAGTCGAAGCCTTCTCATAGTTTTACTCATTTTATGTTATTTCCTTACTGTTGTTTTATTTCTTTGTTAAATTGTTTTTTTGTACAGGGACAGAATGGGGGAGGAAATAGGAGCAATAGATGACCATATTTTTAGCTAGTAGAGAGAAGGATTGTGAGAGAGAACTGAAAAAAGGGTTTAGACAGCAAAAAATGGAGGCTTTTTAAGGATAGTAGAGAGTCTCTAATTAGGGTTTTAGTGATGGTAGGTGATTAAGTTTATTAGTCATATATTGAAGGTCTGTGTCTGTCTCTCTTTCCTTTTTGCATTCTTTTTTCTTTGATGGGTATTCTTTTTGCAGTCAATTTGTTAGTAGAAAATTCTGAAATGAGTAATGGATTTTGAAACAATTTGTAATGCCTTTTTCCACAATTTCCTTCCCTTCATCTCTTTTTGTTCTTGCACTCTTATTTCAAGATTTCCCATTTTGTGCTCTTATTTAAGGAAAATCCCCAAGAGAAATGAAAGAGATTTGGCTTGAATATCAATCAGATGCCCCAGGTCATTGGATTGTATATTTTTCTTCTAGATGTGGTGGATTACAATCCATCTCTCTTTGGTTTGGTGAAATAGCCCTTTTCTTTGGTTACTTGTTTTTTTTTTTTTTTTTTTTGTTTACTTGTTTTTTTTTTTTTTTTTGGTGGAGAATAGATAGTTGAGGGATTTGCTAGTGTAAATTCCCTCCTTTTTTTTTTTTTTTTTTTTTTGGGAGAATAGATAGATTGAGGGATTTGCTAGTTGTAAATCCCTCCTTTGGTTAGTTGTTAATTTACCATTAATCCAGTAGATTCCAGCTAGGGTTTATTATTAATTATTGTCTAGGTGAAGAGAAAGATTGAAGAGAAAGTTTAATTGGAATCGTTGAAGAAATTTCACTTACTGCCTGTTTATAACACAGTGACCGCAATAAAATTACTCCACTTATAATTTAGAAATATAAAATAACTTTTTTAAAAAAAAAGTAACCAATTTTCTTCAAATTCTGTAAATATAGAGTGTTTTATGCACTGAATCATGGTGCTATTGGTTAAAAGTAAAAAAAATTTGGCAAAATTTAGCTAAACCGAAATTAAAATTAAATCAATGGAGCATATGATTGCTTCCTATTGGATTATGCATTAGGTTTGTTATGACTTATGAGGGCATTTGGCAACAAGTCTACATCTAACCCAACACTACCAAATGAAAGGTCACTATTGGCAATAATTAGTATTACTGTATTATAATGAATAGAACTAATAATTTCAAATTTTACTTTAACAATATTTTTGAAGTTGGGTTCAACTTTTAATCATAAGGTATGCCATTCTTTCAAAGACATGTTTTACGTTATGGTTGATAATTAAAAAGTTTGATGATTTAGACATTAAAAAGACAACGTACCATAAGCTAGAATTATGTCTATTCCATCACCTACTTGAATTGCTTCAACAACCTCCATTTAGTTTCATCAAATCAAACTAACAAAAACCCTACTTTATAATAACTATATAAGCTTTAGGGTTTTATATATTTAATTGTGTCTAATTGTTGTTTTTTTTTTTTTTCATTCTTACTATTTTCATGGTAGGTAAGCATTTACCCTTTGTTTGAAAAAGAGAAAGGAAAATATTAGAGAAACAAAAATAATAGAAAAAAATAGCGAGAAATTGTCAATTTTCTTCACATTGTTATTTTCCATTATTGTGTTTGGATATAATCAGAGAAAGAATTTAAATTTATTTTTCTTTGTTTGGAAATACCAAAATTTTCTAGGAAAGAAAATATTATTATTAAAAATTTACAATTATATTCTCACTTAAATAATGGAGTTTTTAAGAAAGGATCATATTTTATTAATTAATTTATGATATTTGAGTAATTTAATAAACATGAGTAAAATTCACACTTTTCTCTATTATTGTCTCTCCAAATTGGAGAGATTCAAAATATTTTCTCTCCTGGATATTTTTCATAGTTATTTTCATTCATTAAAAAAAATAATAAAAAAAAAACTCTCATCCAAAACAAAGGTTAATGATAAAACAACACAAGTTAAGATAACTTAAGACAACGCAATATAATTGTTGTTCCATCTTGTCATATGTTTGGTCAACACAATGAAAGACAAATTAATCATATAAAGTAAATAAACAAATAAATATTGGAAAAAACAAAATCCAGTACAATGGAATGGAATTTGTTCTCTCTTGATTTTGGGTACAATTGATAGTGATGAATATTAATGCTTTGAACAAATAATTTTTGGCTCAATCTGAGGATTGGACCAAAATGAAATATGGGTTTTACTTTATAATTTATATATATTATTCATTGGAAGTTCAATCGATCATTGGAAGTTCAATCGATCACAATAATATTGTGAGTTATATAATAAGAAATGCCTACCCACTTTTTCGAACTCGAGACTTCTCCTATCCATTTTTTCTATATCCTTAAGATGTAAAAACACTAATCAGATCATGCATGATTGAGTATACCTAGACTTTTAGGTTTGCTTGCTTATACCATAAACTTGTATATAGGAAAACTTGTATAGAAGCTCGATAGGCCAGAGCTTCTTTACATGTATTACAAGTAATCAATGTTCTGGCCCATCTCATAATGTATTGTATTATTCAAGGTTTCAAACCAATCAATTACCAATTCTCATGAACTCAAGAAATTAAACTAGTAATCATTTTTGGTTTGCTGATACATTGGTTTCAACTCTTGTGTGTTATATTGTAAAAAGTTTTCCTTTTCAATTTAAGTACAATAAGAGTAATCTATGACATATATTTAAGTTTCAAAACAGACATATCATATAATATTTTTGTAAAAAAAAACTCAATTAATGATATTTAAATTCAATTAGTAATCTTTTTTTTTTTTAAATAAACTCAATTAAGAATCCTAATAGTTAAAGAAGAGGGCAAATATTTTAATTCAATTATGAATTTTTAAATTTTGTAAAATTAAAAAACAAAAATAATGTTAACTCAATTGGGGATATAAACTAAATTACAAATTCTAATATTTTAGAAAAAAAAACTCAATAAGGAATCCTAATATTAAAAAAATAAATATTTTAACTCAATTAGAAAAATAGAAGAATATCTTTAGTAATTTATTAGTATTATGAAAATGAATTACTAATATTTAAGCTCAATTAGGAAGAAGAAATGCTTTAACTAAATTAGGAATCTTAATATTTTTGTACAATAAGAAAATGAGAAACAGTTTAGCTTGGTTGGAAGTATTTAAATTCAACTAGAAACTTTTTAATATTTTTTAGAAAAACTTAATTAGGAATCCTAATATTAACATTAACAAAAAAAACTTTTTTTTACTCAATTAAAAAAATATATCTTTAATAATTTATTATTATTATTTTTATGATAATAAGTGATTATTTTTTGCATTCCATTTAGGAATCAGGATAATTGGAATCCTATTATTTTATAAAATAGAATAAGAATATCCTTAAAAAAATTATCATTATGAATTCATAATTACTTTAATTCAATTAGGAATATCTCTACCCAATTAGATATCTTAATATTTAAACTCAATTTGGAATCTTAATATTTTTTTTATAAAACAAAAAAAGAGAAATAAGTTTAACTAAATTAAGAATCACAATATTAAAAAGTAGAAAATATTTTAACTAAATTAGAAAAAAAAAACAAAAATACATTTAGCAGTTTTTTATTACAACAATAAACAATAAATATTTGAATTCCATTAAAACTCTAATATTTTTGTAAAGGAAAAAATAGAAAAATTAAATTTAGTAATTCAATAGTAAATACAAAGGACTAAATATTAATATTATATTAAATATGAATGATTCGTTAAATATTGTAGGATATTTAACATTTAACGTGACATTTTTTGAATGAAAAGAATGAATAGTTTGACAGAAATATATTTTAGAGATTAATTAATATATTTATTAAATATAAGAAATGAAATTATAATTATGTTAATCCTGAGAGACTAAATAATTATTTAGTCTTAGTTTATTGTACTCTTTAACTTGTGGTGGAAGAATTTTGAGGAGCATGAATATAAATAAATAAATTGTGAAGGTTGGTTTAGAGCCTTGAGGCAAAATGGGCTAGCTTGAAAAATTAACACCACCTTAGGCCCAATATGGTCCTAATAATTTAAGCTAAATGGAAATGTAAACCAACCCAGTCCAAAACTTGAAAACCTAAGTGAGAATAATAATCATAATTTCCCATTATTATAGTATATAATTTTAATATAGATTTTAAAGATCATAATAACAATTTTCAATTTCTCTTTGGTGTTGCAACCGGTCGCAGAGCCAGAAATCAGAGTCAAGTAAAGTAAATTTCATTTAGAAAAAAAGATACAGTTGCTTTCGATGAATTTTTATGATTTACCTATTAACTTTTCAATCCATAAGAGTAACGGTTAATTGGTGAAATTTTTTTCAATTGAGAGAATTCAAATGAGAAATTTCTCACTCTCCATAAAAATAAAAAGACCAATCAAACAATACATAATTTTACTTTAAAGATTTTTTAAAAGGGCAATGACGTGAAATAAAAATAATTTAGTGTCAAATTTAATAGAGTCAAATTATCAAATTTAATTGGATCAAATTATTAATACTTATATATATAAAGAAAAAAAATTATCTTGTGGCTCAGTTAGCAATACATGTTGGGCATGTGAGAAGAGTTCTTGGGTTTAATTCCACTAAGGAAGGGGCAAAGAGCCTTAACTATGATTAAACCCCAAACCAGCCTTAACTATGACTAAACCCCAAACCAGATTATGTGGTCCCTGATAATAAAATCGAGATACAGATAGTTTTCAAAAAAAAAAAAAAAAAAAAAAATACAGATAGTTTCAAAAAAAAAAAAAAAAAAAAATGATGGAGTCAAAAAAAAAAAAAAAAAAAAAAAAAATTGAATGGGTCAAAAGACTCCACTAGTGTCTGAGTGGAGGTTGTAATCAAAGGACTGAAATAAGGACTGAAATAAGGACCTCTTTGGTCCAGCAGTTCAGCTTATAGCGATTGTTGATAGCTGATAGTTGATGACTAATAGCGGTTAACTGATTATTGTTCGTGTTTAATAAAATTTTAATAGCTTTTGCTGTTAAAATATAAAATGACTATTCTAGGCATAATTGTTTTTATATATCATGATGTGTAATGTATATATATATTTTTAATTTAAGGTGAATATATTAATTTTATTTTATTGTATTACATAATATAAAAATATTAATTAAAATTTTAAAATAATATTTTAAAAATTTTAAATAATTATAAACAAAGTTATCATAAAAATATTAATTTAAAAAAATAATTTTATTAATAATTAATTTTTTATAAGATTAATAAAGTTCAA